TGGACCGTTAATCACTTATAAGTCTCGTGTTAATGTTCATGCTAATGCAATTTATCCTTCATAAAAATATAAATAAAAATCTCATACAGTCGTTAATATTCTCTTTAAGATGATTTGTTATTTAGTAACGGAAAACTAAGAAAATAACTAGACAAAGATAAAGATGTGTCACCAGTAGACTCCATTTCTTATAATTTGTCAAAGTTGTGTCAAACAGAATGCTATTATCTCTATTATGACTAGCATCGGCTATCTATGTTATTGTTATCCTCTAAAATTATTAGTTTTGACATGAAATACTATGATATAGTATATGATTGGACCAATACAGCATCTCTAATTCTCTATGCTTCTTCACATGTAGTGGGTCTGGATTTTCCAACAATATACTCCTTGCATTACCAAATTTATCGACATCTCACATGTTCTAATTTTACTCGATCATTTTATTATAATAATTCTACAATGTTTCAGTATTGCAAATTTATGTACTTGTATTAGTTGTAATCTTGTGTACCTGTTTTTTTTTTCTTAGGATCGGAAAAACATAGGTAAATAGGTATTAGATATATTTCATAATTCATACTCAAGAATTATATTACATTGACCTAGTACAAACAATGGTTCGTCTGACGATTTTGTTAATTTAAATTACTGAATTTAGTAATCGTACATATTATATAAATGATCACTCCGTATGTAATAAGTCATGGAAACTGGATAATATTTTGTATAACAAATATAGTCAACTTTATGCGACGAAAGGAGTATTGATTATAAGGGTGTGAGCGGACACAATGTGTATAATAATAACGATTTATGCTGCGAGGCTGTACAGAATATGATATATATAATACAGGACCATATGATGGTCCATATGTAACTCATGAAGGCATGAAGAATGAAAAGGACATCATGATCGATTAGCCATTAAAGTTGGTTGGTTGATCAGAATTAAGAAGGATCCTTTTCTGTTATTACTATTATTGTTTGACTAGTCTTCAGACATAAGCCTTCGATCTGTAGTGTGTCATTACTCATTAGATCATGTTTTGTTGACTCTCGCTCTTCTGTTGGAAGTGTGATTATTATTTAGTGCAAGCGGTATATATCTGGTTGGACAGTTTACATGACATAATTAATTAACTGTTAATTATTTGTAGGAATTTATGAAATAATTATTTCTTCTTTTTATCCCTATATTGTTTTTGCCTATTTGGTCTTGTTCTTATTTACTGAACTGAACTGATTGGAGTTGTAGTATGTTGAACTAAACTGAAATAAATTGTTTATGAGAGACAAACTGAACTAACTGTTTGGAGCTGAACTGAACTGAAATTAAGCGGAAGAGAATATGCCTTTACTCTCTTTGTTCCTATTTATCTTGTAATTATTTGTACAAAAAGAATAGAGAGGAAACAATAGGTAGGTGAATATGAATCCCAACTTAAAGAAAATGAGACAAGTAAATTGAGATATGCCGAAAAGAAAATTTAGGCAAACAAAAAGAAACGGTGAAAGTATTTTTATTTTCAAAGAACGTCTATTTTTTTTTTTTTTTTTTTTTGACAATAGCAAAATAAAATGTCTATTTGTTATAGATAGTTCATTTATAATTTACCTAAACTTTTGAATTGGAAGTAGGTAATGACTAGGTGAAGAAATGAAGCAAGGAGAGCGTGAGTTATGGCGCCCTTTCCTTCCTTATCCATTGGCGCGCATCCAGGCATACAATCCAGACCTCATTTATGATTTTGTGTGAATTAAATCATATCTACCGCAAGCCTGAATAATGATGCACTGGGAATGCTAGGTCAACTAGGTTGTAGATTTCAAAAACTACCCAATTTAGACGTGGTTTTATAACAATAAATTGAGACAAAAACTTTCACGTAATGTATTGAGTTAAGCACTAAATTAAAATGTAGTAAGTACTTTATGGTACTATCTTCAATTTTGACTTTGAAGTATATAATATCAATATATCATGTGTTAACTTATGCTTCATAGTTAGTTTTTATAATGTCTGTGTAGTTGTATGAAATTATGAATAACTCATTCTTTATATGGTGTACACCTTTTTGTGTAATAGTAAGAAGGATCCTGACTAAACCTTAACTCTCAAACCCTCAAGATTTTTTTAGTTCAATATTTACGAGTTAATGGTGGGATTGTGGAGGATAAGGGAATCTCTACTCCAAATACTCTCACTTGGTAGAGTTCGAACCTCAAACATCTAAAATCGAGATAAGAATCTTATCAAGTGAGTCAACTAACACTTTGTTAGTGTATGTAGTAGTGTAGTACACCTTGTTTGTGTGTATAAGGTGATAAAAGAAGTACTCAAAGAACGTCACACATTTTGTCCAAGATTATGAATCAAATTTACTCAATCCACAACTTTAAGATGAGTCATTTTCTAGCTTCATAACTTGTACTACAACTCTTAGCTCTAAAATGAGAGAATCAAAATTACATAAACTTTGTCAGTTAATTTTAGTTACTCCCCTGCATATAATTATATTTAATGGGTCCACATGCATGAAAACATTAGCATTACATAAGATGCGTCAGTTTCATAGATGATAGATTCGGAAGAACATGGGGATGTTTATAATTCTTGGTCTTAATAATATTCTCCTAAATTTTTATGATAAGGAAACTGAATTTCAGATCCATCAGAAATTTTAGTTATAATACTCTTACAAAACAAAATCATAGTTCAGCAATACTGAGATGAGTCTTATGGTCTGTTTTCTGACTATTTGAATCCAAGAATCTATGTTAATATTACATTAAATATTTGTTCCTCTTGTATTTATCCATTTTGTATCTGTTTAAGGTGGAATCAACTCAATGAAGCTTCAGAAATATTTTGCACATTACACCCAATATTGATTTTTTTAGTACACACATAGTAACTAGTAAGCAGGGGTGGATCTATTAAGGTGCATAGTGAGTCACGTCACGTGACTCACCAGCACATACACACACACACAAAAAAAAAAAAAAAAAAAAAAAAAAGATGCCTATTACAGATAGGGGATCTCTTTGTTGATTCTATTTGAGATTACCCCACTGTCAGTTTTTTAAATATCAAAGAGATCGCCTATTAAAATATCAGATAGGTGGTCTCTTTGTTGCTGCTATTGTCACCACGTCATTAGAGACCTGTTATCTATATAACAGGTCTCTTTTTGTCAGAATTAGAATAATTTTGTGCGATGCTTTCATATTTCATTAAAGAGACCTGTTATATTTAATAACGGATCTCTTAAGTTATCTAACTTTTTTTTTTTAATAATTCTAGTTTTTAAGTAAAAAAATCATAAAGTTAGTTTAATGTAATAGTTTTATAGTATGTATTTTTATATCCTATTTTTGGATTGAAACAAGTGATCAATTATTGATGGTGACTCATAAGTTCGAAAATCCTGGATCCGCCACTGCTAGTAAGGGTCTGTTCTCATACATTAAAATTCAGCTCAGTTCAGTTCAATTCAGTTGAGTTCAGTCAATGAGAACAGACCCTAATTGCAGCAAGCCAACAAGTATATCATACATTATACGGAGTACATTATATACATATACAAGTACATCATAATATAAAAAAATAGATCATAATATAAAATGAAAATTGTATCAAAATAACTACTTCGTAACACAGTTCAATAAAATCTATGGAGTAATATTAAGGTCAGGAATAAATAATAAAAAAATAAAAAAAAAATCAGTAAAATAAAGTTTAGTATGAGAAAAAAAGGTAAAGGTGAATGTGAATTCTATCTTGTATATATGCTTACAAAGCGATACATTGTAAGAGTATTGATAGATGTATAAGTAAATGTTTAAGAACTGTAGCCGTTTATAGTTGCTACCAAAGTCATTATGTGGTAAATGCGCAGATGTTCTACACAAACTAAGGGTCTGTTCTCATTGATTGAATTCAGCTGAACTGGACCGAACTGAACCGAATTAAATTGAACTGAACTGAAATGAATATTTTATAAGAGAAGGAAATTAGGAGCTGAACTGAACTGAATTGAACTGAGCTGAACTGAACTGAACTGAACTGAGCTAAACTGAACTGAACTGAGCTAAACTGAACTGAATTTCAACATAAGAGAATAGGCCCTAATTGTTACAAGTATTAGATTTAAATTAGTACTAGTAATAAGGTAAATTTGATATCTTTGAAAACTACAAATCTACTACTTTCCTCCGTTTTTTTATTATTGCACCACTTGCCTTTTTAGGAAATTTCACAAATATTGCACCATTTCCTCTTTAGGAAAAAAATTATTTGTGTTCACACTACAAATACCCAACATACCCTTACTTTTTTACACTTACTTTTTAGTTTATCAATATATTACATGGGCAATTTTGTATTTTTACCTTTTTCTCTCTTACTTTTTTCCACTACCAAAATATTTGTACCCAACTCATATGGTGCAATAATAAAAAAATAGAGGAAGTATAACAATTCACGTTAAGGGGTGATAATTGAGCAAGTCGAGACCATAGCTCAAGCAAAGCTTGTCAAGCTTTCAATTCAACTCTATGATTTATGTCAAATCGTTGCTGTAACGGGGGTAGTATTTAAATAAACTACTTGGACTACAAATCTACAATAGGGGTTGTTACACTTTTAACATTTGGGTAACTTGGTGGAAGGCAATGTGGGCCTTGAATCTTGATAGATAGATAAATTTATAGGCCACACCACTCTCTCACACTTTCTTAAAAGTCTAAAAACACCCTTTGCTTCCTTGACTGTTTGACTTCCCCCCTTTAAATTAACTCCTTTCTTACATTCACCTCTTCTTCTCTCCTTCCTCCTTCACACCTCATTTTCTCTCTCCTCTTCCTCCATTTTTACACTTTCCACTCTAAAATCCAACCTTCACAAATTCAACAACCAACAAACAATGAAAACCCATTAACAAAAATCCTTCATTTCCTCCTTTATACAATCAATTTCATCTTCATTTTCAAAAATGGGTTGTTGTGTTAGCACTCATGACAAACAAAATCGTTTAAAACATTCCTCACTTCAACCAAACGACCTCAATGAATTCCCTTGTGTCTCCAAATCACCACCAATAGCCGAGGAAGAGGCCGTCAAAGAAGTCCTCTCTGAAACCCCAAAACCCAGGCCCAAACCCAGGTCCAGGCCCGAAAGCCCGAGAAAGGTCGTAGCTGAACATGGTCAGCAAGAAGAGTCCATGAAATCGAAGGTGCTTCCATTTACTCCTCCGAAGAAAGCGTACCCGGAAGAGCAGAAACTACCCACCGGGTACCCGGATCCGTGTACCCCAGAAGAGATCTCAGAAGCGTCGGAAATGTGTAGTTTTAGCGAGAGTATATCTACAACCAGAGAAGATGATCATCATCTTAATCAAATATTGTTCGGCAGAGAAGGCGTTGTTACTAGTGGGGGAGGTGGTGGTAGTGAGTATCGTCAAAGGGTGTACAGATCTCAGGGGTTTAATAATGTGAACAATGGTGGTGGTGGTGGTGGTCAGCATTATAGGAATCAGGGGAGATCGCCCGCGAGACGACGGCCCGAACCATCCCCGCCTCGAAAGAGGAATCCCAGCCCGGGTGGTGGTGTGCCTAAAAGGGAATTTACCGGGGATAATTCGGGCCGTCGGTCTCAGTCCCCTGGAATACGGGCTAATGTGGGCCGTAGCCCGTCTTCCAGGAGGACTGGGCCATCTCCGGGCCGGGTTAGGATGGTCCATGGCCCGGAGAATGGGAGGAAGGTAGAGGAGGAGATGGAAGAGAATGAAGAGATTGGGATGAGGAGAGAGAGTGAAGAGTGGCAAGGTCCAAAGGAATCACTTGAAAATCCACTTGTTTCATTGGAGTGCTTCATCTTTCTGTAGATTATTACTCTACTAAAATTAGTTAGTACTTTTTTTTTTTTTTAATGAATGAATGTTGGGATTTTTGTAATTTGTGGTTTTGTTAAATGTTTTCTTAGTAATATTTAATTGTAAATGTTGATAGTAATGTAGTAATTAGTGTATTACATTAGGAGGATTTGATCTCAATAGGGATTAGCGGATTACCATTACTCTTGTTGTCTAATTGTTTTTTTTTTAATGCAATGTTATCTAATTGTTTAATGTTGCAATTTTCTTTATATGAGTTTTATTGACCAAATTGTGTAATACTCCTATTCTCCATTTATGAACTCCTCCATGTAATGTTTGATGTACTATGAATGTTATGAACAAATTTATTAGTATCTGCTATTAAGACATCAAGGTTAATCTCAATTTGTCAAATCTCAATTGTGTATTATTGTTTAATTTTTGACATGAACACAAACTCGAGTGGACATAACCTATTTATAAACCATAATTTACACTATACTACTTTGTGTTAAACAACTAAACAAGTTATTATTGTCTAATGGTAGAAAAAACTTATTGCTATTAAAATCTTCTCTCAAAATATAAGACAGAAACAAAGATATTTATGATCAAAATAAGACATTGACAAACATGCACAATCAAAGTAGGGGAGTAGTCTTTCAATTGTTGCCTTGGTTACAATTGATATTGTCTGTCCTTTGTATCTCTCCATTAATTGAAGATAGGCCATCAATTATCTTTGATTATCAACGGTTTTAATGTTTGAATCAATTGGAGTACTTTTTTTTTTTTTAATATAAAAAAAAATGAATTTTTCTCTCTTTATACTCGTATCAATTTACCAATAATATGGAAGTACTATGACATAGAATGAGACCTGTACTCATAGCAAGTTAGCAACGATGAGATTATAGGAGGAACTAGAACGAGGAAAGTTTGGCATTTACAAATGCATAACAGGGGGTATTCATGTAATTATACATATGTACAGACGAATGTATATTCTAGTATCACTGAATGATCAAATGGTACCACTGAATATACAGTGATACTATATATGCACATAATGGTATTATATATGCATTCAGTTGTACAAAATTTATGCGAGGATTCAATGGTACCATATAAACTTTCAGTGGAACAATCAACATGTAGTCCCCATCACGTGATACAATCCGACCAAAAAATAGGGGGGGTTCACCTACAGACCTCTCTCTTCCTATCTCTCTACTCTTTTCTCTCTCTATCATGTGTTTTAATAATATTTTAATCAATGTTATGCATTTACAAATGCCTAACTTTCCTCCCTTTAAAATTCCTCGGGATTATAGCAAGATCTAAAAGATTATACCCAAAATGAGTACTGCGACAACTATGGGCAAGGTTTCTGTCAAAAAAAAAAAAAAAAAAACTATGGGCAAGATATTAAGACTTCATAAATTATGTTTTAATGTAAAAAAAAAAAAGAGTAAGTACATCACCCGCATCAATGGAAAATTAATTTATTAATAACGAAGCTAATTGATGATTATTTTATCTAGTAATGGAATTAAATGTTACATTTTGAATTTTTAATAGACAAAATAATAAATTAAGGTCATATTCACTTCACTTTAGCTTATTTTTGCTAAACTGAAATTATTTTTACTCAAATGAATTTTTTTGCTAATTTTAAATTATTTTTACTAAACTGATTTTTTTTTTTTGCTGAACTATAATTATTTTTACTGATTTTCTGTTACATTTTTTAAATTTACTAAACTAAACTTACTTTTACTGAACTAAAATCATTTTTAAAGAACTAAAATTATTTCTATTGGATATTATTCTTTTTAAAGTAAAGTGAACAAGACCTAAATTATTACTTCCTCCGTTCTGTTAATATTGCAACAATGAACTTTTTGCACTATTCATCACTCTTGTTTGACCATATAATATGATTTATACACTATGCAAATTATGGTCATGTGATATCTTGATGGATTCGTCTCATAAAATACTTTCACAATATCAACTTTTTATAATTTTTATTCTTACACAATTATAGATATCTAGCATATAAAATGTGCATTGGGATGCGTAATTTCCTCCTTGTTGCAATATTAATAGAACGGAGGAAGTAATATGTATTGCAAACATTAATAATATACTAATACTAGTAGTTAAGTTGAAGTAAAGCTTGTGATTGAGTTTTACCAATTATATAAGGCAAATGTAGATCACAAGACCCACAATCACAATCACCTTAATCATCGGTTAGAGTTGCTATTAAAGTTAATTAATATTAGTAATATAATATTCTCAAGTCAAAAGGTGGTAGAAGATCACAATTAATGATTGTACACTTTATATTATAATGACATTTTTTTGTTTGTTATATAGTTGGATGTAAGATATCATATCTTGTCAATTTGTCATGGACCCAAAAAAAAAAAAAAAAAAAAAAAAAAAAAAAAAAAAAGTAGGAAAGTGGTTAATATTTAGAAGGGTATCCTTTAGCTTTTGGGAAGGTCCATTATAAATTAAAGAAAAAAATCACTATTATGTCAGTTTGGTTACATAAGAACGCAAGTTATGTCAATCTGAGTGACTCAACTTCATCAAGTACTGGCGTACTGCATACTTACTTTGCATGTACGTTTTTATACTCTTTCTTTCAATTTTGTTATTGATACAAAAGCCAGTACATGGTGGTAGGACATTTGCAAATCTTGTGATATCACATTCAATTTTAATAAGGTAGTTGGTATGTATTGCTGGTACTTGTCAATAATTGAAATAGATGGGTAAAGTAAAGGAGATGTACAATGGATTTCGTATAACCGACTCGACCTGTACGGAGTATGCAATAGTTCAGCTTGAATATGAATTGAATTGTACCTAAATTCACTTAAATCCACCAGAAAATTGATACTTGTACTTGATTTTATGACTAATCTAATGTACTCAATAATAAGAGATTTTAATATGACTCGATTATGAGTCTCTCACTAATAAGATAGCCTCATGTACACATTTAAGGTTTTTCAAAAAAAGAATAGAATGGTTAATGTGATGTGAAACCTCTCCTAAACAATTTTTTAAGGGCTTTTTAACTCAATATATTACCCCTTATTGCCTAACACCGCTAGACACGAGATCGAGTATTTTGTGAGTAGATAAGTTTATATTTACATTGATATTCATTCTCATTTATATTGTGTTGTGCACAACATATTTTTTGAATATTCTTGAATTATACCTTACTAGTTACAAGTTACTAGACTTACAACCCATGATATTCAAGCTAATTCGATGGGTTGATCACTCTCCCTTGATGTATTTTATGATCTCTTATGCTTTGCTTGTAACTTGTAAAGTTGTAAGTATTGAACTAATACGTAGTAAGTGGTTTCTACAGAATTCAAAACTTGACCTATTTGATCATTTATGAAATTCAAAATAGTCACATGAACACACACTATCCCTATAATAGAATTAAATGCATTTTCAAAAGCTCACGGATATGATTATGGACTATTAATACTTGCATTCTATTTATAGAAGTTGTAATAAATAACAATGGAAAACATTGGTGCATAAAATTGAAACTTCATACTTGTAAATTAAATTTGTATCTTATGAAGTAATTATACAATCATTTTGCTCCTGCAAACTAACTAAAATGCAAACTCCTTTGCAGGTAGGGATGGCAACGGGTCGGATTTGAATCGGATGGACCTTCACCCGCATCCATCCGCACCCGCCATCCGCTCCACCCACCACCCGCTTACCCCATCATCCATATCCGATCCACCCATCATCCGCGGGTGAAACGGGTGAATCGGATGCTAAATGGATGTAAGCTATTAAACTTGCAATGAAATTATAATTTATCGAAATCATAATTTATTGTCGAAAAACAAAAGCACTACAACCTTCAATAAATGTAAAATATTACAGTAGTACACCAATTAGGTGTCAAATTACTCAAATATGTCAATAACATAAAAATGAACTAATGACTAGAACACAATTACAGTAGCAAATTAGCAATGAACTTGCAATGAGCCAAAGAGGTGAGATTTGTCATCAAGTCCCTTTTTTTCTTCAAATATCCATGAAATCGTCATCATCCTATAAGAGTACAAAAAATATAATCTCACGAACTTTTTTAATTATCTTTTATTATTTACAATGCTATACAAATTTAAAATTAGGCATAAAAGTTAAAGTTTTTAGATCTAAAGTTGAAAACATCAGAAATGTTAATACAGAAGAAAAAATAAAACAAATTTCAGAGCTACTACTTATTTGAAAATTTTGAATGCAACTATGTACAAATTAAATACATATCAAAAAACTAACAATCTTTAACAAAAAAAAATGGTTAAATCGAAACACACAAACATAGAATCGATTCTTGGATTATAGATTTATAGATGGTGTGTCAAAAGAACAAATTAAAATAGGGAAATTAAAAAAAAAGGGTATAAAATTATACCTTAATCGCTGGACGTCGTAGGTGACTAAGGTGAGATGGAGTCGCAGGTGGAGGTAGAGTCGCCGGAGAGGGTAGAGTCGCCGCCGGTGAGGGTGGAGTCGTCGATGAAGGTGGAGCCTAAAGAATGAAAGGTAGAGAGGAAGTAGACTATAGAGGGAGATTGAAAATGAAAGAAGGTGGCTGCTTGAAATTTAGATTAGGGTTTATTTAATTTCAGGGCATATTTTTTTATTATTATAAAAATTAAACGGGTGGATGATAAACGGGTGACGGATGACTAAAAGTTCCACCCGAATCCGACCCGATCCGTCATCCATTTCATCCACCACCCGCCTTTCATCCGTATAAGTCGGGTTTTCATCCATTTAATTAGAGCGGGTGGAGCGGATTACTGGATATCCATATAAAATTGCCATCCTTATTTGCAGGAAAGCACTGAGACATATATTGGGAAGAAATCAGCCACTTGGCATTCACACTGTACGGTAACAATCTAAAGAGTAAAGAGCCGTTGTGGTTTAAATTATAGTGACCATTTAGGGCTAAGGTCTAGGATTGTTTTTGTTTGGGTATGAAAAATGGTAGGCACTAGGATGGTAGGATTGCTAGCAGGCACCAACTGGTGGCCTGGACAGTGGACACACATTTAAGACCCTTTATACTGCAAGGTGACGTTTAATTCATCTCATTTAAATTTCTCCAATTTGATTGAGCTTAGTCTTATTATTACGCTAATTGCTAATAAAATATTTATAAAATAAGATGTCTTTAAATTGGTATTAATATAGATGTGCACAATTCAGATATAAAAACACCTAATAAACTTTTTTTATAATTTAGGGATCGAACATAGCATCAAGCTACTCATATATAAGCCGAGTTAGGGCATGTTCACTTCAGCTTAATTTCATTTCAGTTCAGTTCAGCTCCAATCACTTCAGATTAGCTCCTAATTTCCTTCTCTCATAAAATATTCATTTCAGTTCAGTTCAGTTCAGTTTAGTAAATGTGAGCAGACCCTAAGTTCACTTCAACTTAATTTCAATTCAGTTCAGCTCCTAATTTCCTTTTCTCATAAAATATTCATTATAGCTCTATGCAGTTCAGCTCATTTCTGTAAATATGAATAGGTCCTCAGTGTCATAGTGAGACACTTAACTGTAGACATAAAATTTGCACCAATTATATGTCGTCTAATTACATTAGAAAAGATTAAGATTAATTAGATAATACAAAGATAACTATGGTTACATACTTATATCATTATATGAGTTTAGTTATGTTTTAGATTAAAATCATACTCGGAGTATATACAAACAAGTCACTTTCCATCTCAAATTTTTCATAGGAAAATGAAAATCCACGCTAACAAGTAACAACTCTATCTTCCAAGATTATCATCACCAAATATTAAATTGTCATTTACCTCAAAATCTCACATGCTTTCGTTTCTATTGCTTCCATTTTATCCTTCAATAATATTGTTAGTTCATGTATTGTGGTCTTACCTTCTTGTCATTTAGTAGCCAAAATATCTCCTCTTTTATTAATTTGGGCCATTTGAGGCCTGGTTTTTAAAAGGTACAAAGCCAAGCGTTAAGAATTTCTAATAAAATGCAAAAAAGGCCCAAATATGTGAGCTACTTCCTAAATAAAAAGCCCAAACATAAAACTAGAAGAAAAATCCTACAAATGAAGGTAAAGCTCCCTCTCTAATTACATGTTTTTCCAACATCTCTTTGGTACTTTGTAGTTCACTAGTTTGTAATAACTTTGTATAACTTCATATGTTAGATCTACTTAGAAGTATTTCCAAGGATTGTCTAATGTCTTTTTAAATCTTAAAAAGTGCTCACGAACACTTGTTAGAATAATTGGTATATGAATTGCAAATCATAAATTATCAAACGATTTACACCAAGTTACTTTTTATTAAGTGTGTTTTAGTTGATGTGTACCAAGTACTCCATAATAAAGATAATTAATTAACTGAGTAATTACGTGAAACAATGGTACCAGGCCATTAGTTTTATTAATAATAATGTACTCCGCATAACTTTGTTTTTTGTCTTTATTTTATTTTTTTGGTATTTAAAAAGCCACTAAAGGTGAAGTGAGAATCGATCCTAAAATCTCTTGAAAATGTGAAGGAAGCTCTAACCACTTGAGCTATCCCTCACTCTCACTCCGTATAACTTTGTAATAGACCAGCACACAATTTTGTGTCACAAAAAAATAAATAAATAAAAAAAACCAATCAAAGCTACGCAACAATAAAGGATTGAGTAAAGGGAACATAAGAGTCATCAGCCGATCACATACTTTGAACAAAGAGCACACGAATGCAGGTGAATCAATTGTGCAAACGAACATCAAACTAATTATAGACCTCTAATTCGTTAATTAGTCCATACTCCACCTGTCTCAAGAATAACTGACACAATCAAACTTTACACACATGCCGATACACTAGTTTGACCTTATTTTTACAAAAGTAAATAACAAAAAAGTTATCACTAACTGCATTTTATATTATATAATTCACCTTTTAGCCCGACTATATATATATTTTTAAACTTTATCCAATACTAAGTTTTGCGATTGTTATGAAACGGAGAGGGAATAAATATAATTCATGTTGGCGGCTGTTTAAAACTTAAAATAGAAGACTTAAGAAGCAATTAGTCTTAGCCTCTTCCATGCATTTTCATAATCAGATCATACAAATTAAAAACCCTTTATTATGTATCAGCACATATAGTCATGTGGATGAAATGGGTAGGCACGCACACGTGGTGATAACATTTTTTGAAGAAAAAAGAAGCTGATCATAGAAAGAAGAAAAAACTGAAAACGATAATTCTAATTTGGGTGTACAAAACATTTGAATGACTTGGTACCAAGATTTATCGTAAAATTATACCTTTGCAAACTGGAGTCCTTTTTTCGTTTTTCGTTTATACGAAGTACTAAATTTGAACCATAAAATTTAAATTTTAAGATAATTTTTTACAAAACACAGAAATTGTTCGGTTGAAGTTTAGAATCATTTTGACCTTCTATGAATATAGTTTAAAGTAGAAATTGGTAATAAACGACTATGCAGACCATGGTTTGTGGGCAAGTAATGCCTCAATTTCGCATTTATTTTATTTTAGCCGTGAAATTTCCTCAATTGATGTTATATGGGGTCATTTTGGGACCTTAATAGTCAAATTTGAGATTGAAGTTAGCCAAAAACTGAGCAATTTCAACTCAATATACTTCGTATGTGCTAGGAATTGAATTGCCTTGGCTTGTCTATGCTTCAGTTTATGAGCGTAAAAAATTTCTAGTCATAAGTGGAAAAAAAAAAATAACACAACAATTTTTTGCATCTTGGAAAAAAAAAAAGTATACGAAGTCTGATCATAAAACTAACCACTTTCGTATATCAGTATATGCATGTCTGGAATTTATATCACTTGAGAAAGTCAACATTCAAGGAGTTCACGTTAATACTTATTATCCCTTACTAGCTACTAAATTCCAAACGTTGATCCTAAACTTCCCATATCATCGTAATCTCAATTTTGGTTACTCTCTTCGTTTTATAATGTTTTTTATCTGCATATATCGATGTGAATTATTAATTGCATATATCTTTAATCTTTAATGCCGCACTACCAAAAGTTAGATAATAACAATGTTCATTCTATGATTGTATAATAATTATATTTATTTATAATGTGCTCAATGTTCATTTTGTTCCACATGTTATATTTCAATGTAGTAAATAACTAAATATTTAGCCTAGACTGACCAACTTGTTTTACTAGCTAGTCCCAGATGCAGCATATTATCAATTGGCTTAATTATGTCTGGAGTTTACTATAAGATGGCTATTTGATTTACTAGCTACTTTCCAATAGCTGGTTCCTACAGGCGCCTGTACGGTGCAATATACAGTCGTTTTGTAGGAAAAAACCTGATATATAAAAGTAATGAACATATAGCTATAGTGAAAAGAACATACTATTAAAATATAATGAACATATATCTAGAGTGAAAATAACATACTATCAAAATATAATGAACATATACCTAGAGTGAAAAGAATATATTTGCACAAAAAAAAATGAAAAGAACATATGTTTATGTTCTTTGATTGTCAGCGTAATGTATTTTTATTTGCGACATAATATTCATTGCTTATTGTAAATGTTTATTATATTTTGTCTTCAAATTATGGTGGTTATATATAGATAATGTTTATTAATAATATTATCATGCTCTTTATTAATATTACACATGTTCTTTAGTATAAAAAAAATATATATAAAATTGGATGTTCATAACAAAACAATTATATGTTCTTTACAAAATAGTTACATGTTCTTTTTGCGTCTTTACAACCGCCTGCACCTTAAAATTTTCAGCTACTTTCCTCTCTCTTGTTTTGTCAATTATAATCATCTATGTATTATAATAATTCGAGGAAACAGGTGCACAGGACGAGAAAGAGTAGACAATGTACTATTTATAAACTCGAATTTCAACCCACAATCCCATCCACAAAGGCTGATCAACCTTCAGAGGCCAATAAGCTACTACAAATAAAGATGGGCATGGGCCGTGCCGACACGCGGGCGGCACGGGCCCGGCACGATTCCGGCACGGCACGGCGGCCCACCTGTGGGCCGTGAACAAAAATTTGGGAGCACGGCACGAGGCACGGTGGCCGGCCCGTGGGTCGGCACGCCGGCACTACACGTGGCACGGTCTGGCACGGCAGTGGTAATTTAATTTTTATTATATGTATTGTTGTTTTTTGCTAAATTAATAAATTTATTTATATAAACTTAAACATAATTAGATATATAATTTTTATAACCTTAATTAAAATAAAGTTTGTTCAAAACAAAATATATTAACATTAATATAAACATAAATTAATAACATTATTTATATAAAATTAAGTTGTCCTAAAAAATATTTATATATCGTTTTTTTTTTACGTTCATTTAAAAAAAAAAAAAAAAAAAAAAAAGTGGCACGGTTTGGCCCGCGGCCCGGCACGGCCTGCCAGGCACGGGAGCCGGTGTGCCAAATTTAGGCACGGCACGGCCACCGCGAAGCCGGCACGGCCCGTTGCCAATGTTTAACTACAAAGCTGAAAACGGCGAAAGGGTAAGTCTAAGCATAAACAAATGTCAATTATCAGGGGATAAAAGGAACAACACCACCAATTGTTCCATGATAGAATGGTACACGGATGGGGTAAGTAAGTCAGAGGGCTACATTGACGCCGCATTCCGTTCGTCGCGTACTAATGAAGCATACCTATTCATGAAGAACGAGTATCTGCTACTCGACTACGCAACAGGGTCATCAGATGACAGAGTACTCAACGGACCGTTCCTGATACCCTACGGGTTCCATTCACTAAAGGGTACCGCCTTTGGAGACTATGGAGTAGACTGTTCTTTTGGGTCTGATAATAAGTATGAAGCTTCTATTTTCTCGGGAAATTTATGTGCCCGGATGAACTACGCTCCGGGCACCACAAACGACCGTATCACGAGCGGTCCCATGACTATCACTAAGATGTTCCCTTTCTTCAAAAACACTAACTTCCAAAACGGAGTAGATGCCGCATTTGAGTCATCTACTCCGTATGAAGCCTATCTATTTAAAGGCGATCAGTATGCTCTTATAAACTACAAGATGGACAACAATGCCTCTCCCCGTCTTATCGCCATCCGTTCTATATCACGGGGTTTGGTAGTTTGAGAAACACCATCTTCGAAAGCGGATTTGATGCGGCATTTGCTTCACACCGAAACAATGAGGCTTACCTTTTTAAAGGAGACTCGTATGCGCTCATAAACTTTGCTCCTGGTTCAACAGATGACTCTCTTATTGGCGGGGTTAAGAAAATTCTTCCTAATTGGACTTCTCTGCAATCCATATTGCCTCGGAACAACCGTGGTATTGACATAACTGGTGATGATGAATCAACTTGAAAATCATTGCAATATATAGTCCTACTACAAGCTAAGTTGTTTTATGAGGATTATATTTAGAGTTTGTCTACAGTTTTTACTTCTCACTTGAGAAGGTTTTTCTTGTTTTAGGCTTAGGGTATTTAAAATTTTAAATTATATGCACTTTTATTTTTATTAAGAATAAAGCAATGTTACTTAGCTTGTTGGACAAAAAAAAACTAATAATACCGTGATGTAATACAATAGCATTTAGTTGGATGTTTTAAGTTCTTGAGGTGCAATTTCTGTGCCTTTTTGGAGTTATAATTAATTTAGAGCTAAATATATCAACATTGGGGTGGTGGCGCAGTTGGCTAGCGCGTAGGTCTCATAGCTTTGTTGAGTGATCCTGAGGTCGAGAGTTCGAGCCTCTCTCACCCCATTTTTTTTATTACTATTGTGGGAGGGACCTAGGCCACGTTTTAATTGGAGAATAATACTTGTACTAGTGCAAACACATCACGACATGACAAAACAATAGATCTTGGCCTTAAGTTGAGCATAACCCTCACTTTAGTGATTAGGCTCGTCCATGGGTCGAGCCAAGTCCAAGGCACGTAAATCAGGGATCTCCCTACCCTATCTTTATTCAAGTAATTTTAACTTTAAACCCTTAACTATGAGTGTTTTTACAACTCTATATTATTTAGTAAAAAAAATTGTCATAACATCATAACTAATCATTCACAATTAATAAAAAAATCTATGTAAAGAGTAATTAAATTTTCTAACAAATTAAATGTAGGTCAACAAAGACAATAGTCGTGTTAGAATTTAGGGTTGAGGTGTCAAAATCAAGATTGATCTGTATATATTTTGCATGACAAAGGAAGATGGTCTGAATAAAATACAATCAATATGAAAGTGACTATTTAATAGATAAACCTTGATATAAAAAGTTAGGTCACATATTAAATCAAAGTATGCAGTCTAGTAAGACAAACAAACAAACAATCAAACATGAAATTTATTGTCAATTGGTTTACATACTCTGTCAATGAATTATATTCGTGTATAATTGTATAAATAAAGTCCCCACCTTGATATGAAATTATGTTTGGTCACATAAATCAACATTTGACATACATGCAACAGAAACTATTGTATAACATGCTTCGTTTTAAAGATTGAAACGTATGAATGATACGTAGTAATAAAGCATGTAGTTAATTCACCAAGTCTCTAGTTATAATTTGGAAAAATCTGCGAAAAATAATTCGAATTATTGGCAATATATGCATAAATTTGGAAATATCTGCAAAAAATAATTCGAATTATTGGCAATATATGCATATTAGTCATACGGCATAAATTGTGTCCACAATATCACCTATATAGCTCAAGTTCATGTGCTAAGAATGACTCCCCGTTAATTAAAGGAAACTGATAAACGCGGTCCTAGAACATCAATACTCCGGCAACAAAGAGTGTTAAGATAACAAAGATTACAGTTGTAATTTTCGAAATGATGTAAATCACAGTGAAATATAAAAATAATGTTTAGAACATGTTGGTTCTCTAATTTCTGACCATGTCAAAAAACTTGGTCCAAAACATGGTATGAATCAGCTTGTGCTCAACATATCAATTACATATTCCAATTTTTTTACAACCGGGGATTTCAATTTGATCCGCAACTTCATCGATCCCTAGAAACTGAAAGCAGTAAGCCTTGCTCGCCTCAGTCTCTCAAAGTGAAAGGGCGAGTCTACACAAAGGAGCGAGATGCTCTATGTACAAGTAGTAAACAACTCAAATGGAGAAGAAAATCTCCATTGTGCGAGCTAAAAATTGTCCATACTAAAAAGAAATTTGCAACAATATGTGCTATTGTGCTATCTATCTTTAGACTGATTCTCTTACGATAGCTTGCAGGGTACTTCTGGCATTTTGAGGGCCTTTTGGAGGTAATTTAAACTTACAGGGTGGCCAATGGATGCGGTCAGGAGGGCACGGAAGAGGAACCGGATGAGCAATGAAAGTTGGAATATTATCTCCAGGCATCACTACCGGATGCTCTTGAGAGTAGACTGTCATCTGAAGACGAAAACAAAGACACATTAAAATGACAATTTAGACATTACACTGTTAAAAATGTCTACTCTATTTCTGTCTGTCACACAAGCAGGCCTTCTGCAGGACTGATGGCAACATAGGAACCACAAAAACCACAAAAAATTAAATAAGATAAGATCAACAAACAGCTGATTAGAGCAGCTGGTATCATTCTATATAAGAGGATAAAAAACATACACGTATATGTAAAAGTTTGTGATCTAACCTAACAATTATATACCAAGCTAAGCTCGGCTTTGTGGAAAGGAGAGCACCTTCTAACTTCAAGGTTGGGGATTCAATCCCCACTTTGGAGGAGGATCCCTTTAACTATCCCACACTACCAAAGTGGAGGAGGGATCCCCTTACCCTATCCCACACTAAGTGCCTAGCCAGCTGGCCTTGGTTGACCTGTGAAGGGTTCTGGCTCGGTAAAGCCCTTTTTTTACCTTAAAAAAAATATAACAATGTATACGAGCACCTACTCCCAACTGGTTGCTTTACCCTAAATGGTATTAAAGCTCGGGGTACCACAAAAATTATATACCTGTCCGTGTATGATTGCATCTATTGTATGTCAATAAAAGCAGGTCAGTAAAGGCAGAGTCATCTAATCTTAAGAATTTTGTGACATCCCAATTCCCAAGGAGTTCAGTATCAATTGCAAGTTTGCAACATGCAATAGACTTGAAGAACATAATCTTTTATGACCAAGTTTTAAGTGCAAGTGTCATTACTAATAGGAAGTATAGGACCCTAAAAGATAAAATTGGCACACACAAAAATGCACGTAGCTTAACAAACTCTGTAAATACATGTTTTTCAAGCTAATGGAAAGTATTGGAGCTGTAACACACAAAGAAATCGATGTCTCTATAAAAAGTTGAATATGGATTTGAAACAAATGAAGCAATGGAAATCAGAGTCAGGATAGAAAAATAATGAAGTACAAGTCAATTGATCCTTCCAAGACACATCCATAGAATGTCAAAACCCTTGGAGGTAAAGATGGAGGAATGCTAAAAATATCTCTCCTGATGACCTAATCCATGCTGAATTATACGGAGTAATATATTAGAATGCCGACCTACTACGACTATTTATCTTCATTACATAACACTAAAAGGCAGTGTTTGTTAGCTTTCTGCACATGGCCCTCGGGCTAGACAGCGAGTGAGACAGCATAGACAAGATTGAAGATGACAAAACATTGAAATCTTGGTGACAAATTTATTAGCTAGACAGCGAGTGAGACAGCATAGACAAGAATGAAAACAATGATTTGCTCTTCTGAATGGGCTAAGATAAACAATAAATTAATAGCTTAAAAGAAGACAACAAGGCTTGTCCATGAAGAAAGGGAATTAACTATAAAAACTATGAAGACATTAGTCATGTGGGACATTATATGCATCTGGGTATTCATGGGCCATCAGAAATCTGCAATATTAGGAGATTTCTGTCTTGACTGGTAAGCATTAGCATCATGGCCCTCGGGCTGCTTGCAACTTAAACATCCAGCAGACAAGAGGTTGGTTGAGCAATTGATTTTTTTAATCAGGCACTCAAAAAAATCCAAAAGACAAACTCAATTCTGCACATGTGGGGATTTTGACAATATTACATTGCAACATTTGCAAGGGACTAAGATCCACAAATGCAAGGTTCCATGCAACATTGCTACTATTGCTTTCGTGTGTATCAGCGGACTCAAGACCAATACAACCTACATACAAGTGCGTAACAGCAATTGGATATTTTTATCCGCCATCCCAAATATACCTTGATCGGAAAACTCTAAAAGGCCTATCTAAAATGACCACAATGCTCCCATGTATCTATCAGTTAACCCATGTATCTATCGTCTCTTAACCGATAGATGCATATGGGTTGCATACTTGGACACGAGTAAGAAGGTTTATAGAGTCTTGCTATAATTAATGTACTCCAACTCACACAACTAGCTTAGAGGATTTAACCTCAAATAAAACAAAAATATGTTTCAAAGGGCTTGCAGCTTTGTAGTAGCTAGAGGTTTACTTTAGACTATAGGCCAAAATAAAATTATTGAAGATTGTCCAATTTAGTATGTGATGGGGATGGACCATGTAAAGTTACGTCCACAGAAAAATGAATTATCGTTTTCTTCTTTCCATCTGTTTCTTTCCCTATCTTTAGAAAATAATCATTACCCTAAATGAAATTAGTACCACCATTTCATCCACATGACTGTGCAGATGAAAAGGGTTTCTGCATGATTATAAAATTGGAAAAACTCAGGAAAGAGTTCAAATCAGAAGGACCAAAATCACATGGGAAGCTAAGACATCCTAAGAATGCCATTATTATATACGAAGTAGTACCAATGAGTTCAATTCACAACTACCATAAATTTCAGTAGGTTTAGTTCACAACTACAGTAAAGTTTCAATAAGGGCAAATAAGTTCAGATAAATACGGTCTAAATTACTAAAACAGGATAAATCTTACTCCGTACTAGCAAATTCAGATATACTGGAGACAAAATATCTAAGTTTCCTCAAATGTGACAGAATCCATGTAATGCTATGAATTGAAATCATCTTATTAAATTACCAAATTTAAAGAGCTTTCGGGAGCATACAAAGATTAAAGCGAAGTACGGAGTATATAATAATACTACCAAGTGATAAAAAAAAATGGTCACATTCACATTAATCCAGGAAGGCTGTTACCCTGCTGATAAAGTTAGCAAAATTACTTAAACAGTAGAAACCAATTACATGATAACTAAAAAGAAAATGCAAAAAAATTCCACAATTTAAGGGTAACTCACCAAATTAAAGAAATAAACTTTTGCACCAAACAAAAGCAAATTTTTTCCAGAACAAAACATTTTACATAAAGGGTACACGAATTGAGTAAAAAACACTTCTGATTCCTCAGATTTTCTGCAGTAACTTCATTCAGTAATTTCATCAAACAGTTAACAGGCATAGTAAAAAAAGGTGAAAAACAAACCTTGGGAGAAGAGTAACCAAGCTTTGAATGAAAACCCAGTTGGGATTCAATGTCACGGCGGCTAGGCAGCGGAAGTTCCGGCGGATTTGGGCGGAGAAACCTCTCAAAAATGGCCATAACAAGAAACATTGAAATAAGAACAGCAGTAGCAACAAAACCAAATGAAACTGCATTTACAGAACTGTCAAAATGACTCCAATGTACATCTGATCTCTCCAAATTCATTGTTGGAGACCCACTTGGTTGCCATCCCCAATTTTCACCTTCACCCATTTTCAAAAAAATTTAATTTGTTTATTTTATAATAAATATTATTAATTCACCGAAAATGAAGAATAAAGTTTTCAGCTTTTTTATTTTTTTCAAGCTTCGTTCTTACAGAAAATAAAATTGTAAAATGAAAGAGAAAAATAAAATTAGTTATTTAAGTGGGATTTTGAGAAGAGAGGCTTTGGAATTTGGATAATAGTGTAATGTTGAAAGATTCAGATGTTTTTGTTTTTGTTTTTGTTTTATGTAGTGTTACTAGTGTAGAGAGGAGTGTGGACTGAGTAAGTGAGTAGTGAAGAGTGAGGAGAGAGAAAAGTGTGTAAACAATAGCTAGGGATGTATGGGAGTGGGAACAAAGATGTGAACCTTTAAAATGGTCTTCATTTGGTCTTTTAACAACTACTCTTAGATGATGGATACTCTTAGAGGTGTCAATTCAGGATGGAGTTTGGATGGATTTATGACGGGTCGAATATATTCAGATCGGGTATATTCGATTTAAAACTATCCACCCTATTAACCCACCTCAGGTCGAATCGGTTTACTTTCGAATCGTGTTAAATTTTGGTCAAAATTTATTGGGTTTGGGTCGGGTCAACTTAAAATTGGTTCATATTTGGTTCAGATAAATACAGATCAGAGTTTAAAACGGGTTTGACTGGGTTAATTTTGGGTTGGATGAATTTGGATAAGGTTGATGCTTGATACTGATTCGGTTCATTTCGATTATGTTAACTTCGATTTGATTATTAAGGTTGATTCAATATTCGGTCAATTTTGATTCAAAAACTTTTCATGTTTGGCTGAATTTTGGTTGGGTTAACCAAATTTAATATTCAAATAATTACATTCTTGAAATTGTAGTAGTTATTAAGTCTTTTATTTATTTAATTTGTTATTGGTTCGATAGCAAGTCATTCAGTGTCATCTTTTCGAATCGTGTCACTAATATATGTTTCAAAAAGAAAAAAAAATTAAAAATAAATAACAAGTTGGATTTAAAAATATGGTTGGTTTAAAATCATATTAAGTCAAAATTAGGCCAGATCAAAATCAGGTCTAGTTAATATCTATTCGGATAAAAAAAAACAGATTGGATTGAATCTAGTATTTTTTTGGTCAAGCGCAATTTCAGTTTGGATTGAGTTCAGGTCGAGTCATACCAGATCAGTTTAAGTTCAAGTTGATCAAATCGGTACCGGGTAAAGTTTAAATCGGGTCAATTCTGATACGCGTTGAGTTCAGCTCGGTTACAAATCGGATTTGGGTCTTGAATTTATGGGATCAAATTGGATAGATTACAGTTCGAGACGGATGGTTTTTTTCGGATCAGTTTGATTTTGACACCTCTAGAAGATACTACTACCTTTTATCCTTTTTATTAAGAACCTTTTTGGCTTTTTTTTTTTATCGGAATTGAGAAAGTTGTAATTTTGTAAAAACTAATGATTGGGAGTATAAATATGCATGTGGGCAAAGAAATACAGAGAAAGAAAAAGCAGTTACTCCGTAGATATCTATCTATACTTATCTATTAAAAAGCGTTCCTAAAAATGTTTATGTGTCACGTGGCACCTCGCTATGTCATCTTTCAACTATGAGCATATTATAATAAAAATGTTTATCATGAGATTCGAATTCACAACCACAAAAATATGCGTTAGATGTCTTACCATCTCATCCATATATTAATCATGTTTTAATACTCGACTCATAAATATATAAGTATATGGATTGGATAGAGATCTGAACATTTAATAACTGCAATTCTTAAAAAAAAAAATCCTATTATTTACTAATTATGATCATCGAGATAATACATACAACCAAGAAAAATTAACTATTGTTATAAATTTTAGTTATTTAATTATTTTGATAATAATTATGTCTTTATTTTCATTATATTAAAAAGCATATACAAAAAATATGTATCTATATTTTTTTTTTACAAGAACATATTTATATAATTAGTCAATAGTTGTTCCATAAATAATTTATTCAAAGGTTTAATAGAAATTATTATAAATTATATACAAATAATGAATGAATAAATAACAAAAAAAAATGAATCTATCTATTCAATTATAAGTGTTAAAAAAATAATCCGGAGCATCGCTCGGGCCACACACTAGTTATTAATGAGAAGGAGATAAAAAATATTAAAAATTGATGTCAAAAGTACAAAAACAATGACAAATCATTAAAAGAAAATAACATTGTAAAAAATAAAGTACAACTTATAAATAGAAATAGACTCTTAATTTTGGTTACCCAAAATGGAAAATATGGTCTTAATAAAAGGACGGAGATAGTACTTCGTAGTATTTAAATTAGGGAGCTGAGGTTTAAATATGTGTTAAATTGAAAGAAGAAATTAGGCGGGTGATTTACGAAAGTATGGTTATTTTAAAACTTATTTACACTTTTGCGTCGGAATGAAACTTAATTACGAATTTATTGTCCACGTAGGCTCGGATAAGTTTTTTTTTTTTTTTTTTTTCAAAGTAAAACCGCTACCTCAAGTAGCGGTTTATGTACTAAAACCGCTACTTGAGGTAGCGGTTTTACTCTTCATAAATTAATTAAATGTATCTTTACTTAGAGTACTAATGACAAACCGCTACCTCAAGTAGCGGTTTTAGACTATAACCACTACTTAAGGTAGTGGTTTGTCTCTAAAGAAAAAAAATTACCCCCAAATGTATCTCCAAGCCTACGTGGACCATATTTTCGTAAATAAGTTTCATTCCAATGCAAAACCGTAAATAAGTTTCTTAAAAGCTATATTTTTGTAAATCATCCAAATTAGGCTATGTGTAGTTTATTTTTATGTTTTTAATCCGTCTAGTGATCTAGTCTAATCTAATCTAAACCCTTTTTTCTTATTTGATTTGATGTGATGTGATTGTTTAAATTGAGTGAGCTTTGAATATATAAGCTTAATCACAGGGATAATATATATTAATTGAGTTGAGATCTTATTAGATTTGTAAAAATATGAATTTTTTTTTTAAAAAAAAAACGTTGCAAAAATATATATTTTTTTAGTGGTTAAAATTCACATATAAAATAGGAAAAATTGTCCAGAATAATCCCACCTTTTGGTTATCTTTAAATAATCCCACCGTTGATATCAATCTACTTCAAATGGTTTCAACCGGTCATGTACACATGTTTGCTTGTGATTTGTCAAAAAATTTTTTTTTTTTTTTTTACAAAAAGGTTAATTTTTTTTAAGGAAAAAATAAATAAAATAAATAATTATGTAAAAACCACCACCAGCCCAAGCCTTCCCTGCCGCTCCTACACCCCTGCCTCGTGGCTTCGGTCACCTAAACCCTGCCCTAGCGCCGTCTTCGGCGGCATGCTTGCACTCCTTCCCGTGAACCACCAAACAACCTTTGAAAAATAAACAAAAAAAATCACCCCCACCAGCCTAACCATCTATCACGCCAACCCACTCCCACCATCCCACCACCCCCGATCGCCTGCCAGCCTTTCAACGCCAGAGCGACGCGTCGTGCTGCCCCGATCGTCGTACCCCTCCCCTTGAACGCACTGACCTCTATATCCCCCTTCCTGAACCACTAAACACCTTTGAATCCTCTCCGTCCCGATCCCAACCTCTTTCCCCCGCTACTTTTTTTGCCTCTCCTCTTCCCTTATCCCTTTTTTGGCCCATAAAATCATCTCGCCACCCTCAGAATTCTTATCGCCATCCCGATCTCGCCCCTTCCCCTGTCTCGATCTGCTGATGGATGCAATCCCGATCTCCCTCCATTTTCCCCGGTTCGAGTTCGGCCTCCCCGATGGTTGCTGCGATTCGGCGAGCTCTGATCCGATGGTTGCTGCAATTCAGTGATCGAGTGCGGTGGCTGGGTCCTGGGGCTGGTGGAAGGGTGGTTGGCTGACTCCCCCTCCTCCCTTTTTAAATTATAATTTAAGACAAATGTATAGTGACACGTGTACTTTAACCCCCCCAAAAAAGGCTTTTTTAAAAGTAACCAGACACTTGGGACCATTGGGAGTAGATTAGGGATAAAGGTGAGATTATTTTAAAATACCCCAAAGGTGAGATTATTTTTAGCGGACGGCCCAAAAGTAGGATTATTCCGGACAATTTTTCCTATAAAATAATTAAGTATGAGGTGTACTTAACTTTTTTTTTTTTTAATTTTTTCCCCTCATCCATCCACTTCTCATCAAACTATAGCAACCATTCCTGAATTGTAAAGTTAAATTTTGCGATTTATCTATACAATTTTACAATGAGGCTTCTTTTCTTTTGTAGGGATATTATTTTCTCGGATTACTAGATATTTATTAATATTTAGGATTGTAAACCCAATTTTCAAATAATTTGAAAGGTGGTATAGATTCATAAGGTCGAGTTTAGGAATTTTCCTAAATTCTTTAATCTGAATTATTATAGCATAAAATGAAACTGCAAGGCATCATGCCACCTAAAAACAAGAATGCAAAGACAATAATATATGCTTGAGCATGCATGTTAAGGGTATGTTCTTTTCAGCTTAATGTCAGATCAGTTTAGCTCCAATCAATTCTATAGTTCAGTTCCTAATTTCCTTCTCTCATAAATATTCATTTCAGCTCAATTCAGTTCAGTTCAGTAAATCAGAACATGCCCTAAATATAAGTAATATAACCAGTAATTGTTTTGATTATGAAAGTTGTTTTAACATCTACATTTTATGGGTTTTGAAAATTATTGTAAACACTCTATGGCTTATATACACATAATTTATCAAATTGTATTTGAAGAAGGCGTGAGTAATTCTTAATTTTACTCTAATATTTGCACTTTAATTTTCTTATCTAATGTCCCGGGAACCCTCATTAGCTTTTGTCTTCTTATATATATTCGCACATGAATTTTCCAATTTTAATCACAAACAACATTTAATATTTGATTCGAAAATTTGGGTACTTGAACCTTTAATAAATACAGGGTACGAGTACTGTTTTTTTTAAGTTGTTGATTACTTAATGAAACATAACGATACAGTATTAAATATTAATCCATGTAATTGACCCATGCACAAGTGCACAACCCTACCTTCAAAATGACAATATATGTTTCCTTCAAATATAAGGAGTACATCTCAATAATTTGTCATATTGCTTGTCTTTCCAGTACCTCACCCATACTACCACTGTACCACATGCACCAACTCTATTCAACTCATCATCTATTGGTCCGTATAATGTATATGTACTGTACCACAATACATAATTTATCGTGGTACCACCAAATTCTGCCAGATGTATTGTACACTACAATTATATAATACGGATATACGTCATAACCTAAAAAATAAGGGACGGAGGGAGTAACATTTTAAGAGTAACACATTTTAAGCACAGTAATAAAGGCAAGAATATATGTGCAATGACTAATCTATGAAATTTGGTAGTATAATAGCTAATAATTTTATGATGACTTGGTGATTTTTTTATATGTAAAAAAAAAAAATAAAAAAAAATTATTAACGCCTAATGCTACATACTTCCTCCGTTTTCTTTTTGATGCAACACACCCTTTAGCGCGGTAATTAAGAAATGTGGGGTTTAAATAATATAATAAACTTTAAAATAGGATGAGTGGTTGTTAGAAGTGTAATTTAGTGGGCCCTAAGGGATATAGTATAGTTTTTCCCTAAAGTAACTTTCTTTTTATAGTGTGTTGCAAGTATTGTGACGTTTCCTTTTTAGGGAAGTGTTGCAAGTAAAAGAAAATGGATGA